TTAAGAGCATGATGTAAGGCTTGGCTACTTCCAAAATTGTTGGAAGTTGAGTGGCATACAAATTTGATAGATGATAGATGGATGATAGATAGATAGATAGATAGATAGATAGATAGATAGATAGATAGATAGATAGATAGACAGACAGACAGACAGACAGACAGACAGACAGATATAATCAGATATAGAGAGACAGTTAAGGCTGTCAGGGTGGGTGTGAACAGTCATATAATGCCCTTTTCTTAGGAGGTTGAGTGGTTGCTCCTCAACGTCTCTTCTTTAGTGCATCTTCTGTCTGGGTATGTGGACTCATTTCCATAGAAAGCACTGGGGTGCAGACACCCACTGTTTTTATTTTCCAAAAATACTATAGTGTGTACATGGGGCTGAGAGATATTTGGGGGAAGCAGGGAGGATAGGGCCAGAAGCTAGTGCTTGACTTTGCAGCAGCTTCCAGTGTAGGGTATATTGGGTGGCGGGAGGAGTCTGCTGGATGCCAAGTGATTCCTTGGCATCAGGTTGCCTACTTCTGGCCTGACTTTTTTTATAAGAGCTGTCCTGGCATCCTTCAGGTATGTTAGACTACAACTCCTATTTAGGGCCCTTCCCCACTGCTGAAGCTACTAATCTTTGAGTTAGCAGAAACCTATATCAGCATAAAATTTGCTAGCTTACTGCTGATCCCCATCCTGCACCCGTAGCAATGGTTCTGAATTGATGCCAAATGGTAGTGCCCTTATTGCCCATGAGCAGAGCATGTTAAGAAATGGGACTCATGGATTCCTTTGACTTTCCTCCCTTTCCCTCCCACCAAAAATCATCAGCCCCTGGAAAATCCTCCAACAGTCGTCCTCCTTAATGTGAGATGGAGAAGAGACTTGAGGAGAAGGTGAGTTTTGATGGATGTCTGGATCAGGGGATTTAACTATCAGTCAAAAAATGTTCCTGGTTTTGTGCAAGTGTTTTGCATGGGTGAGGCCAAAAGAAGCCTAATAGCTGAAAAGGGAGGGAGTGCATATGGAAGTTTGTGAGGCAGACAGACAACTATTCTGCTTGGTTCCCACCATCCCACTTCAGTTCCCACCATCCCATTGTTCAGTTGTTAGTTGGGCTTTCTTTATAGAAGCACCTAGCCAGCTCCCAACCCCATCTAACAGCTGTGATCTTGGAGAGACAATAAAATAGATCTAGCCAACTTTTAAAACTGCCAACCATCTCCCAACAGCTGAATGAGGATCCTTCATTCAAAATCAGTCTTCCAAAGTGCGCAAAGGTGAGAACCTCATTTGAAAGAACTGGACTTACCCACTGCCCAAACTGGAGAATAGTGCCAAGGACTTGAAGGGAAGGGGCATGTCCTGAGCAGCCTAAAGTGGCTGATCCCACCCCTTAGGGGTCACCTGACTGCCAATAACAAAATGGTTAGTGAAGCACAGCAGATTGCACCTATCAAGAGAGCCGTGGGTTGCTGCCTGATTAAGAGGGAAAGCACTACCTAAACACTGGGACAACTAAAGACAACTTAAGGCTGCCTCAGGCATGGGTTGGGGAGGAGATGAAGGCAATATCATGAGATTATGGCAGAAAAAAGGGTTGGTGGGGCATATTCATCCCATGGGTTAGATGCAAGTGGAAAATGATCCTGCTAAGGAAAAAGCCCCCTAAGTATATAAAAAAAAATCTAGTGGAGAGAGAATGATATGAAAAAGTATTATTGGATCAGACCAAATGCCTATCTATCAAGGATAGCATCTCTTTTCCTATAAAACAAATATAATTCTGACCTGTCCAATGAGCTGTTGTGAGGCCAACCCATCCACCCAGTTTGGAATCTCCCCAACATCTCCCATCCTAGTAATCATTCTGCTCTCCTCCTCTTGTGTACTTTGCTTCAAATCTTTCTTCAGATCAAGAGCTGGTAGAGTTCCATAAAATCTGTTTTTCTGCCTCATCTCAGTTATGTTCACTGTGCGCAGAAGGGACATGTGATCCAGCTTGCGCACGTTGATATTTTAAAACAAACAGTGGAGAAGGGAAAGAACAAGAGGAAGCTTGAATGCCTTGTAAACTAGGTACAAACTGAAGCTAGAATGACTGTTGCTTTTTAAATGGAGCCGTATTGAAGCAATAATGTCAAGGGGGAGAGGGGGGAATTCAACTGGCTAAGGGCTTCCTTAAAGGAAGTTTCATCCAGTTGCACAAGCAATTCTAATTGTTCGTCTGAGAAAGGCAATATTTATCAAGGGCCTTCAACGAAAGCGTCTATCCATTGTTCTGTGGAAGGCAAGTTCTGCGGAAGGCAAGTTCTGTTGGCAGAAAATAGGACATCTGTGTACATAAGGGGTGTGCAACCTTTCATGAGCTGAAAGCCACCCTTGGCTTGTAAACGGCATGTGTGGGAAGGGGCAGGAATGCATGCCAAGACATGGGGAAGGCCAGGACAAAAATTAAATGAGATTAAATGTTAATTAAAAATGATTAAAGAAATTGTACTTTCCTTGCATGTAATACTCCCCCCATCCCTGTCATGTTGGCAACAACTTAAGGTTTGCAGCCCCTTAAATTTGTATACCTAAGGTCTGTTCACCCAAACATGCTTAATCTGATTACTGAATTAATGCATTTTCTGGATGTGTATTGTATGATGAACCACAAATTAACCAGATAGGTAGGATGATTCACACAAAATGCTAAGCCACTAAAACACCCCCAAACCTAAGATTAACTTGAGCCAAAGTTAGCCAAGTGTGTGAATGCAGCTGTTAGGCGTTAATTGGGTTGCACCTTCTACATGAACAGGGCTGTAGGTACATCAGGTTAAACCTCCAGGATTTGTTTTGATGGTCCGTCATCCATAAGACCAAACTTTTTATTGAAGGCAGCTCAGTGCCTAAACCATCTCTTCCTTCCTCTCCTATCCGTCTGCCTTCTCATAAATTCTTCTGGCTCTTTGAGGGAGAAACCAGCTTGGCAACTCAGAACTCTCCACAGCCCAAAGACAGCAAAAACATTTTTTGACAGACATCCTCAGTTTTCATGGTCCTTGTTTCAACTTATTTGGTGGGGAGGGGACATTCCAAATAATTCTGTCATAATCACATTTGCATTTTGATTCAATGCTTTTCCAATCCACCTATAATGATGATTATCAGTGTTGCAAAAATCATACCACTATTACTACAGTACTGTACAACTACACTGGAGGAATGAGAGGTCCCCTTCAAATGATGCTGCCAAATCTTAACATTACAAAATTGGGGCCAGGTGTAAGTATTTCAAGCTGGTTTTGTTCTCATGTCCACTCCTCCTTTGAAAGCCACTTCTATGGAAGGAGCAGAGACGTTAAACCATTCAGAGCAACTTCACACCCCTGGATGCCTTTGGAAGATGGGAATGTCAGCATTCAAGGGAGCTCGCAAGGTGTAGTCCACAGGTGCACAACCTAAGCTCCGTGTGGTCCCCTAAAGGCTCCAGACCTCCTCCCACAGCCGCAGCGATTGCAATTTTTAATGAGACAGAGGGTGGAAGTTATTAACTATGTGGGGAGTACTCATTGTAGCAGCATTTAATTGATTTAACATCATTTAAATTTAAATTGTTCAGTCCCTGCGTACTTCTCTATCCTGGCCTCACCCACTTCTAGAAATATGGCCCCTGGAACGCCTCTCAAAGGAATGTGTCCAAACCACTTATTCCAGTTGAGGTGTGAATGTTAAGTACCCAGCAGGCTGAAAAGCAAAGGTCTAGGTCAGCATCCTGCTTCCAGCGGGGACCACAAGGATGACCGTCTTCCATCCTTGGGGCTTCTGCAAATGACATTCAAAAGCAGATGGTTCTCTATATGGAGATTCCATAGAGTTCTAATTGCTGAGTGTCACTCATCTCATGCATTTTCTCTTTCTCTAAGTCCCCTTTAAAACCATCCCAGCCACTGGCCATCACTGCCCCTAGTATTTTTGGTCCTAAATACATATAAATCATTTCTGGGACTTGATTGTGTCTAGCTGTGTCTATCGTGCAGGCACTGCTGATTGATTCCAATGAACAAACCAAGGATCTGTCTTCAGAATTATGAAAATTCTCATTTCTGCTTTTCGTACATTATTTCATATGCCTCTCTCTTGTTCTCCCTGCCTTATCCTCCTCCATAAACAAACATTTTACCCAAAAACCCTGGAACTCTCCAACCCCCACAGCTTCTACCTAGCCTGGCCATCGATAGCCTCCCATCTCTGGAGAAGGATGTTGTCTTAGAGGAAGTGAAAAAGGAGAAGGAAAGGCATCTGGAGATTCTGCTTTCCTCCTCGGAATTCCCTTCACCCTCTCAGGAATTTTCACGAGCTTTCAGGTACCTGCAAAGGTTCAACCCACAAGCAGCCATATTCCCCATGCTGGCCTTTCCCTACTCAGACTTTTGAGAAGTGATGGACTATAAGCCCCATAATTCCCAGCTAGAACAAACAGCTATACTGGCTGGGATCTGGAAGAGGGTTAGTCCCCTGGGCCAGGAGGTGATGGGGGGGGGGGAAGAGGACCATGTAGCAACAAACACACTCTCTTAGAAAATGCACTTTATTACTGCAGATATTCAGTAATGTTGACTGCTAAGATGAAGGAAATGCTACATTCCCAAATGAAGACTTCATGAAGGCATGAAGACTATTGGAGGAGGGGAAGCTGAGAATGAATTTTTTGTGCAAAAACATGATTTTATGGAAGTGCCAGAACCTAAACTGATCTGGAACACGGCTGATGTGGGTCTTCCGGGCTGTGTGGCCGTGTTCAGCAGTTTTGGTTCCTAACATTTCGCCAGCATCTGTGACCGTGCTGGCGAAACGTTAGGAACCAAAACTGCCAGAACACGGCCACACAGCCCGGAAGACCCACATCAGCCATCATATTCTGGCCGTAAAAGCCTTCGATAATACATTGATCTGGAACACATTGAGAGTTTATGGCTGCTACTTCAGTGGTAAAGAGAATATACTCTGCAAACAAGCCACGGTCCACCCTGCTTTATTACTGCTTCCCATGCTTAAAAAAACCCACAGATCTTGAAGCTAAGTCATGGTGGGTCCAAGCCTTTTGTGTGGGGCTCCAGAGTCTGCCTTGAAGGATCTCCCAACATGAAGAGGAATGAAGAATGTTTAAACCAGACTCTCATTTTCTTCGGTATAGGTAGATCACGCCAGAGATATATTCCGAGTCCTGACCAGATTCCTCTTCCGATGTCGCTCTCTCCCATTTTTCAACTTCCTGCATCCCAACCTTTTCCCACAATCCTTGCTGCTCCAGTTCATCCAGCAACCGCTGCAGTTCAGTCTTATATCGTAAATTGCTCGTGTTGTTTCGTGTGGTCAGGCACACATAGCCACCTGTTGTGCAAAGTCACAACATTTCAATCTAAATCAGTAGGAAACCCTTGACAGTCCCAGAAACGTGAAATCTCCTTCACACTGAGTTTGACTCCTGGGGACACGTCACAATATGGAAAGAATTTGTAAAAAAATATAAAGACGGCAACCACAAACACATAATTTAGGCTGCTATCTTGACTGTTTTGACGTGTGCCCTACAGAACCAGTCTCCCCTCCAAGTACCAACCAGGCCTGACCCTGCTTAACTTGAAAGTCCAGAAAAGGTCAGCCAGGGAATGCTGCCTTCTGTGGCAGAAAATCCAGAAATACCTATTGCTTTTTAAAGAGATGTAACTGTTATTAGATGCACTAATGTTCTCATACAGGAACATTCTCCCCCTTATGACCAGATGATAAAGTGAAAGTAGGAGAAAGAGGACGATGAGGTGGCAGGTCTGATGAAACTGAATGGGCGAGTTCCCATAAATACTAGACTAGGATAAAACGCGGTTGAGTAGTTTATGGTGCAGCAGGTTGTGGAAACAAGGCTATTACATTAAACTATAACATGGTTTATTTGTCCAGGCAATAGCATATTCTGTGGATACAGGACTTAGGCATTGTTAATCCAGGTTTAGGGCTGAGCATGTGGTGTGAACCTATCCAATCTCTCCTGTTCACCAGGTAACTTAGAGGGAGGGGACGACCAAAAAGCAAGTTTGCAGTGATGAAACTGGCAAGGTTTACTCATCACATCTTCATACAGAGAAGAGAAATTAAATGACAAATAAAACCATTCCCAAAAGCATGTAACTAGACCAGGAGGAGGAGGAGGAGGAGGAGGAGGAGGAGGAGGCAGCGGCAGCAGCAGGAGGGAATGACTAAAACTCAATTTTTGAGAAAGAACATGTGTGATTCCAGGATACACACAGACACAGGCAATCTGAAGAAAGGTGACCATATCTATGGTTCTGCACGGTCCTGATCAAAACACATTTTAAATGGCATTTCTGCCTTTCAGCCATGCACACACCTGACAGCGTGCATGAAATCCATCAAGAAGCTTTTGCAAACAATCAGGTGAGGTCTTCTCGCTCACTAATCCGTTTATGGTTGCAAGATAGCAGCACCATCTAGTGGCTATCGGTTCTGGATCTAGCCAGTCCAATATCCTGTGTCCAAAAGGGGATAATTTGGTTCCTTTGGGAAACTCTCATGGGCATTAAAAATGCAAAAGGGTTCTCTTGTGCTTGGCCCAGAATTATCAGCTATTTAAAGGTCAACTGCCTCTGAACATGGGGGCTCCATTAGCAGTCCCAATTAGATCCCTTTCCCATTTCTACTCCATGTATTTTGTCTGACCTCTTTTTAAAAAGATATCCCAGTTTCAGGTGCCTTGGAGAAAGCCCAAGCTAAGGAGCATTCAAATAAACCACAAGTCCCTCCTTAACCTGCACTCAGCCATCTCTAACGAAAAGCATCATGAATCCGAGCACCATAAACTCTAGGGGCACATCAGTGCCCACAGGGGTGGGTCAAAAACAGCAAGCAGTGGGCATGGCTTTGCAATCCAAGCTCCACCCCTTTTGTACTGTATAAAACAGTGATTCTCAACCTCAGCAACTTTAAGATGCGTGGACTTCAATTCCCAGAATTCCCCAGCCAGCATGGCTGGCTGGG